ACATTTTTCACATTAGTAAAGTTACAGATAAAAGACAAACTCAAGCACTTCAATCTCAATCAGAGAAATTATCTTTAAATATCATGGATAAATTGGATTTAATTTTGTTTTAATAAATTACAACGTTATTTTAAATTTATTGAACAAAGGAATATTAATTGCTAATTACACTTTTATTGAGGCAACGTTTTTGTGAAACGTCTTACGAGAAACAGCTCTACCTCCCACTTTCCGAGTCTTAGTCGGGATTACTTAATTTTCACATTAACAGGCCACTTTTGTAAATAACTTGAATACCTTGCGAAGAAAATTCTCTATTGAAAAAAAAGAACACGCAAATTGAAGTAATTAAATCTCTCCAAACAGATGTTTTAAGGTAGATAAATTATTCGAGAACAAGTCCCGCTCAGCTTGACGTCGGGCTGCAAGTCATCCTCGCTGATAACGTCACTCACACTTGATACCACCTTATTCTATTCTGAGCCATGTAAAAAATACTGCTAAAATATAAACGGCTCATGCTTTGAGTTTCGCAGTTATCTCTGTTAGCAGAACTATTAGTTACCATTCAATATAGCCTAATTACCGAAAGAAAAAAAAATCAACACCTTTTTTAAAGACACTCCAATACTGATATTATACTTAGATAACATATTTAATTAACCTTATGATGCTGTGATACTACTGTTTTTTATTCAAGGATCCTTGTAACACTAATACCAATTACATGTATTTTATATTGTACACAATGCAAATAGTTTTAGTAAGTTCATGAATTTTGTTTTTGTTTGTTATGCAGTTACTGTGTTAAAGATGCCTGGAAATCGTTACTAATATTGACAATTAGAAATCCAGCGTTTTAAAAATCTAAAAAATAAATCTAAATCCTGAAAGAGAACAATTACAACAAATAGAGTTTCGTAACTGAACACGTAAGCTTCGGTCTTAGAGCTATTAAATTAGTCTATATTTGTTCAACCCCAATCTTGGAGATTAGTTAGATTGCTCCGATTTCAGACAAGCGAAACACCGGCGTTAATGGCCAAATTATTAGAGTAACAACCGTTAACCACGGTTTTGATCCATCTGAAGGACAACATGCTATCAGCGGCCTATTTGCATAATCCCTCTAAGAGTTCGAACGAAAGCAATTTTGAAAATAAGCACAGGGATAGAAATTTTTATGATATTTCCAAAGTTTGTAACAAAAATATAAAACGTATTACTTTTATAATATTATTATTATTGTTTTGTTCGAAATAAAGCACTTACCACAAAACTCAATTATTTTTTACATACTAAAACACTAGTGATTTATGAATGTTTGCATCTTTCCTATCTACCATAATGAATTACATGCTCAAAATAAATATAATATAACAACCACTTTTCTTAGATTCTATTATGCTTTAGAAATAGTGAAATAAACAATAATAGGTAAAAAAAAATATTACTTGCAAATGCTTGATGTCATAAAAAATTCAAATATCTTAGAGATTTATATCATAATCGTGAGTAGGTTAAATTGTCGAATAGTAATAAATATTAGTAATGATGCAGTAGTGTGCCAATAAATGATATATTTATGCTTGTATGACAACTTGTTGTTCAGTTTACAAAAACTATAATTAATTTTTATTATGTCACTTAAAAGAGGATATATAAAACAATAACCTGCTAAAAAACAATTGGACATTACTATTTCGTATTTATCTAATATAAATTTAATTTGTGATTTTCTATTTAGATACTTTAACGTAGTAAGTAATTACACAGTACAGCTCTTAGCACGTCAAGATCAGGCTTCATCTGACGTTCCACAGTTTGAATAGACCCTAATTATGTATTTGTATACGACATACTTGAAACTTCACTAAACACAGTAGCATGAAGTAGAGACGAGTATAAGAAACATATAGTATAAGAAATTTCTATATAGTCAGCTATAATATAATGTCTTTACTTTTTTTTCAACTATTTCTATATAGATAGTTTACCATGTAGGTAATATTAGAAAGACTCCTTTTTATTTACTTCAAATAAAAAGGAAAAGGAAAAGTAAAGTTAAACTTGACATAAAACTGATAAAAATCAAATACAACTCTATAATGAACAGTATTTGATTAAATCTATTAAATGCAAAATGATTGTTCGCTATTTTTAGCTAAATACTTATAGAAATATATTTGATACCCATATACCTAAAATTCATTCATCATACAATCATACATACTGGTCGCCCAATAACTAATTTAAATAATTAATAATAATTTAAATTAACCATAATTCATTTAAATTATAAGATTTGACATTATTAAGGTTCTAATAAATTACTGCTATACAACTATATTTTTATATTAAGATCACATTTGTACTTGATAATAATATATATATAAACTACAAGTGTACGAAAATTAATACTCCTCCGTCCGAGCAATCTTCGCAAAAAGGGGTACAACGTTTTCGCTTCACATATAACTATTATATGTATAATAATATAATATTCAAACAATAAGTTTTCGACATAAAAACTTAATAGCCAATCGAAAATTTTGAAATATACAAATGTAACGAATAGTGAACAAATTTGGTACATCTACACAAAAAGTGAGTAAAATTTTCTATAGTTTATGAGGTTCATTAAATTTATAAAAATATTTATTTTTAATATGGACACTAAACGAATGTAGACATATTTATGTCTAAATATATATAAAGAGATCGATAATATATTATGAAAATATTACTTTGTAGTATTGTAACCCTTAAGCAGTCTTGGTGATAAATGCTACAAAATTATTTCTATCGTCAACATCATTTTAAAATTATATTTTAAAGGAATATACTAATACTATCATTAAATAGGTATCTGACTTTGACATTTCTTAAACAAAAATTCTATCAAGAAATCGAAAAGCATTTTCGCGTAAATCAGCATAAGTCCCGGACCTTGAGGGCATGACTGAACGTATTGCCGGTTTTTTAAGTAAAATAGTATTACTTGAAACATTTCTTTTGTATGTTTACACTAAAATTTCTTGATCAGAATGTCTATTAATTTTCATTTAACTCATTTTTTACATTACTCTTATTCTATTATAGTAATATCATAATAATTGTAATTACAATTTTTACCTCTTTATAATAAATATATAAACTCAAGTCATGTGATATAAAATTTAATATCATGATTTAAGGTTAACACAATATAATGCCCCGACAAAGGTACATAACACGAAATTACGGTCTCTAAGCCTTATGAAACTCAACAAAGTAATGAATTCCAGTGGCCAGTACACTACACATCTAAATTAATATAAGTAAAGTAAGCTCAGTGTGCAATCGTAAATAACACAAGAGTTTTATCTCTATTAGAACACTAAACAAAGACTATGTGCTCACATATCTCAAGCTAGTGGCTGGGCTGTTTTTTATTGTTACGTTTCTAACGTGAAATAAAAACAATGTGACAGATAATACTCATGCGAACAGTAAGCTGAAATATATTAGAATATACCAGCCATGTTCCCGAAAGAAAATTAGAAGAAACTTTTTTTCTATGTAATTAGAATGACAAACAAGCAGCTGGGACACGTGATGGTAACCATGGCCAATATACATAAATAGCACTAAGGAAATCACGTTATCACATGACCCGCGATACCGTGCTTTGTCATTCTTGAGGACTAAGAGGTCATGTCTCTTATCCTGTAATTTTACTGCTCTCTGTCTATCATAGTTTGCATTTTTTGAATGTGTAAATTCAACCTCGATATAATGAAATATGTAAAAATATTAAACCCTCAATAATGTTAGGTGACGTAGAATATATGTGTAGAACAATTTTGTCACTACATAAAGAAGTAACAGATCAATCGAATTTTTTGGCCTCTAGAAACGAATATTCGTAACTATTAACGTAACGTTCGTATATTACACAGAATTCTTATGTGATTGAGAGACAATACCCGCGTAAGCAAAGTGGCGAAATAATAAGAATAGATATATGACGTATATGAAGCTGTAAATAGATTAGGAAACCTTGATTAACTGTATTGTCCGTTAAAATAAAAATGCCTCGACTTCCTTTTTCTTTGCATTTAATTTTACTATTTCTATATTAATTTTCTCAAATTGTATAACTGAAATAGGTAAGTTATATTATAAGCGATTCTTTCCAATAATCATTTGATATTGAGTAAATGCAAAGATCAACATCTATCAAGGGACGCCATCCAAGGAAAACATCGCGTGAAAATAGATCAGCTTTTTTTCAAACATCATAATTTCATAGCTGAACCGTTTTGTTTTAAATTAGTTTTCTCGCCACTATGAATTGGCACATAATGACAAGGTGTTTTAGAACTTAATATAATGCTATATAATAGTATAATAATAATAATAGTCTTTCGATAAATATATATATATATTATTTATGATAATTATACATTGTTGTTTTAAAAGGTCATTGTTAGAAATGTAAGTAAACATAAGAAGCACTTTGTAAATACATTCGGTTGCGTACATAGGAGTATCTATATAAAATAATATATTCACCTGTGGAATATGGTTAAATGAATATAGAATATTACTTTCAACCATATTGATTAACTGTGACAGCCTCGGTGGTCTAGCGGTTTTACATACCGCACTTCCGATGGTCACGGATTCGATTCATCGTATGGTGCAAACATTTGTATTCATGAGTACGATTGTTTGTATCGGTCTGGGTGTTTTCTATGTACATTATGTATGTATTTACAAAAAAAATATCTAAGTATTTATATAAGTTGTTTAATACCCATAACACAAGCTCTTTTTTCAGTGGGACTAGGATGGTGCTGTGTTAATTGTCCAGGGTTGTTGTTGTTATTCTTATTATTAACTGTGTATACAAATATATATATATATATATATATATATATATATATTTTAAATAATAATAACTTTTATTTCTTTAGTCGATTTTATTCTTTTAGAGATGAAGATTATTGACTTACCCATGTCATCGATGAGTGGTGCCATACGGAGCGTGACACCCACCAACAGCAGGCATAAGAAGAGAAGGAGGCAGGCGGTCACCATGATAGTATAACGTGCACGACGAGGTAGCTCATCGGGATCCAATACCTTTTAAATAATTACAAAATTATAAATTTCAACCCCCGAATGATGAAAAACTATAATAATATGCAGCTAGATAGAATCTCGAACAATTTAGCTTTAAAAAATATGCAATATTACTTGTCTATTCTTTTAGGAGCTACGATGCCACACAAAGACACAGAAACGTCCAACTGGGAAGATTTCGCTTTATGTATCTAAAATATTAATTTGAAAAATATTCGTACTTATCATCCAACAATAAATCAATTTTTTAATTGAAATAATACCCTACTTAATAAAGACAGGGAAATATGTCACATCAGCTATTTATATACACAAAAAAGTAGGTACTCGAATTGTATACATCCTTTCTTGAAATCTTTTGAAAGTATATATAAGATGGTATTATAGAAATAAAATATAAAGATAAATAAGTATTTAATTATAATGTAATTCATAAGTAATCCAAAAACTCCTCTAAAAGCAGACAGTTAGCGTCCCCTAGTGGGTAAAGCAAAAGGACCCGTAATGGTTTCAATGCAACACCATCTCTTGGGTGGTGTACGACATTAAGAGAACTGTGTACAAATAAATTGTAATGCGTATCAATAGATGGCGCTAACATTACATATAATATTAATGTTATACCCGAATTATTATTCTGGTGTATTAACTTCAATATCATTATATACATACATTACATCTACCCTTAAACCTAAACTATAGCATTTACAATATCTAATATTGGAAACACGATTAAAAATACTTAGTTTTAATTTACATATCTCACTCAATATACAACAAGGGTCAAGTAACCCTGTCTGTGTGTTACGCCTTCACGACTTCACCGTAAAAGTTTGATGAATGATATAAACCTAAATGGGGCTTAGGAAAAGAAAATAGGCAACTCGAAGTACCAACCACACTACGATCAATAGGAGCACGAAGTTGCATGGGTCAGCTGTATAATAATGGTATGATGCACCCATCCGTGCTTACGCTGGGCACCAATTAGGGTGATAGATTCAGCTGAAGTCAGGTCAGCTAGCAATGGAGCCACTAATCACCTAACATATGTTATTTTTTGAAGTTGTTCTTCCTGGTCTTCTTTTAATACAGCGATTATACAGCGATTATACGCTCGCTAGTATTAGAAGTGAAATTTATGAATTTTTAATACACGTTTTTGGTAATTATGGGAAGAATATTTGACAACCCTATCGTTAAAATGATGTACAGCAAGTAGCGCCATCGCCTGGCTATCAGTCACTCAAGTTTGGTAAATGTATGATTAATTTTCATTAACATATTTGTTGTATTTTTTTTTATTTCTTCTAAGTTATAGGTATCTTTTATATGTATTTAACTTTCGGTATGTAGGTTATTGGTCGTTTGTGGTCGTTATCCTTAACTGAAACATTAAAAGTATTTTATACATTTCTACTTATATTATTACTTGTCCAATTTTTATAAGCACACAGACTTACATGAATGACTTTCGCCTGTTCATCTATGGCTGATACTAGTAACGTACGGTGTTTTCTTGGCTTCTCGGATTGCGCATGCTGGTGGCGTCTTCGTCGCCGTCTTCGTCGCTCTAGCTCCAACTGCTCAGGACTGTTTAGCTCCCTGATAAGCATTATTTATTTTAAAGTATGAATAAAGAGATTGGAAATTATATCATTAGATAAAAATTGGACTCACGTGTCTATCACCATCAACTAAAAATGTACGAAAGTATTTTGTGTCCATACTAAATAAAAATTATTTAGTTAGCACGATTCCGAATTTAACATCTCATTAGCACAAAGCAGATGAATCGGTCTATTTAGTTTGTAGTAAATGTTTTCATAAGTTCTAGACATATTTTTAAGATAGATACATATGTATATCAAGAACCAAAATGTTGTACAAAATTAGTAGCAATGCAGTCGTATAGGTGAAATATAATGTATATGTATATATATTACTAATATATAATATACTATACATTTACTAATTTTGTACAAATTTTATATTCATTTATATTATAGGTATATTTTATATACATATATATTTATTAAATAGGTACATTTCACGGCCGTAGTCATGAGTTAAGATAGAAGAGAAAAATAATAGAAACATATTAAGATTTCATAAGAGCAATGAGCCCAATTAACCTGTTATTTTAGATTATATTTTATAGCAATATAACAATTTCAAATGGAATCTCATGAAAGCGATTTCATATGAAAATATCAAATCAAAGATATGTTGAATCTTACAGATTCACCGTGCCTATCTTACGAAAATATGATAATTTTATTGGTAGCAGTTGAAAATACACTCTAATATATGGAACAATATTTTTACCTAAACATTACAGGCCGGTGTGATTTATTTGATATTTTCAGAGCAGAGATTTAAGATACACAACTTTTTTTACGTCTAAAATGAAATGCACTTCTCAACACTGTTAATGTCACAAATTTATTAAATAATATAATACACTAGCTGTCCCGGCAAACATTGTTTTGCCTTAAAATAAAAAAAAATTTAGGGGTGGACTACCCCTAACATTTAGGGGGATGAAAAATAGATGTTGGCCGATTCTCTGACCTACTCAATACGCTCACAAAATTTCATGAGAATCTGTCAAGCCGTTTCGGGGGAATATGGGAACGAAAACTGTGACACGAGAATTTTATATAATACCATATTATGTGTGTGATTCTACTAATACCACAGATAACATAATATTACATACTAATACTAATTTATTATTTACATTATACGTAATAATAATATTATACTGACCTATATCTAAATATGTTACTAAAATGTATTCTAATTCGTAATATATAAATATAATTTGTAATCTAATTTTTTTATGACATAATCATAATATTAATTTATATTAGCATCCACCGTTTAAGCTGAACTTTAAAAGGTGAATGTGAAAGACATTATTTACGATATAAGTTACTGGTCAGGTACCTATGATGAGTTCGTAACTTGAGTTTCTTGTGCTTGTGTCTGGAGACTTCATGCTCGCACCAGTGTGTCGGTAACTCCTCGCCAGGACTGCCAATAATGGATGCCTCCTCTGAAAATAGACAAGCAAACAACAATAAAATATACCTCACAAGATATTACAAATTATGTAGACTGTTAAAGAAGATACGTGTAAGTAAAACAAAACTTTATAGTATTGATAACAAATAGTTTTTAATATTTTCTTTATTATTATTTTTAAGTACCATTAATATTTGAAATTAAAATCATACATACTGTCAGTTTTTGCTACGAATACACATTTTTTTAATCACTATCTCTACCTTACAATTCCATTAGCTAAACTTGTATTAATAATATGAATAAGTCTGTCTGATTGTATATTATGTTTTCACGACTAAACAGCTGATCAGACATAAATAAAATTTGACGTAAATGGAGTTTGTATAGTAAAAACGGACATATATTGTGTATACATTTAACATAAAAAATCAGATGAAGTCGCGGTGAGCAACTATCAAATTTTAACTTTCTTCATATTATGTTATTTAAGTTTCTACTGTAGTTACACAACTATTCTGTATTCAAATTATATAAATTGAAGTGAAATAAATAAAAGTATAAAGCAACTGACTCAAGCCTTTTTAAACCAACTCGAGTTACAGTTTCATTCATATTTTTTTCCATTAACGCAAACACTAGAAATAAAGATGCATAAAACTGTATTACCAATATTTATATAGTACGGTATATTTATTTTAAAGATTTTGTCAGTAACAGTACATACTCGCCTATTTCTGTGTGGAACTCGGCAACCCTTTCTTTTTAAGAACCATTACAGGTTGTTACATGTTTATATAGATTTGGGTTCAATTCTTATAAGGGTGGTAGCAACTCTTAAAGCGTATTTGCTAATTATTCAGTGAACTGACCGTCTGGCACGTGGTTTCGTAGCAGCAGCAGTAGAGGATGGGTGCGCGCGCGCCGCCGTGCCTGCTCGGCGTGCAACGCGCGTGCCTTTCGCTCCACCAAGGCGACCAGCACAGCCTCCAGCCGCGCCGCGCCGCTTTCCTCCGTGCATACTGCTTTGTCGACCGTCTGTAATAAAAAAGACACAATGCTATATCGATAACAGGTAATTTTTTATTTCAAATATAGTGACTTAAACCTATACAAAATGATAAATGTAAACGTGAATTCAGAATATAAATATGATGGAACTTCTATCTCAGTAATAAATTGATTATGTTTTCATTGCTAGTTTCACGTATACATAAGTATAAACGTAGAAAGTTACTTTCTACGCTGCCTTGTTTTGTACGTTTTTTTCGGACTACTCTAATGCTGTTGGCCGCAGTTTGCCTTTATATCCCGCCTGACTGATACGTCTTTAGTCTGAGGGTACCGCTAGGAGTTCGAACCTCGGCTCAAGCCGTCGTTATTTCGATCACCATTTGAATTGGACGGGGGATCGATCGGGATATGTATAACACAATTCTTTCCAAATGAGCGGTAGATTAAAAAACTAAGTGATGACTATTCAAAACTATTTCAAAGTAAATTTATTTAAATAAATGATTTTCTGTTCTTTTCTATAATTTGTAATTTAAGGTTTTTTATAATGTGTCACTTTATGTTGATAATTTGGTTGTTGGTAATTTATTAATCAATACTTGATTAATAAATTACAGAAATAAAGTGATGATAATAAATTTTGTACTTTAAACTAAAACATCGTCTGCGACGGAGGTATCCTGCAGCTATTTCAGCTACCAAGCAGTTTGCAATGAAATGAGTTTCAGTCGTAGGGTGCAGATTAGGCAGTGAAATTACACGATAAAATTAATGACACCTTAATTCTTTGGTATGGCAACTCTTGACTGGCATCAAGTTAATCAAGCAATTAAGGAACAGTTGAGTTTCTTGCCAGTTCTTCTCAATTGAATCTGTACACTGAACTGGACGGTAGGGAAAATATATTAATACAAAAAATTCTAGGCTAAAAGATGATTAATTAATTTTTATTTTATTTTATATTAGATATTTTATTATACAGAGATGGACATATTTAAATTAATGTTATGTGTCTAAATATTTAAGAAGATTACAAATATTACACCTCTGACAAAATGTAATAAGTATGTATTAAATGTATTGAAGAATTGAGACGACAATATAATCGCCTATTTATTTTTCTTATAATTGTAACATTTTTCTTTAATAATAAACTGTAATCATCACGAAAGGAGTTGTATTTAATTTCCTTATAAATCCTGATAATTTTAATAATCCTCTCAATCTCTTGGAGCAACGTCGGAACCTATGAATAACAATGAAATGACATTGTAACACTCAGTCCCATGTCAAATTACATGACAGAACAAAACCGCACTTAGAGAACAAACACCTTTTATTAATACCGAAAAAAAGAAATATGTATTTAATTCATCATTCATACATACAGAAATAGAAATGTCAATTAAAAAACAATTACGTATCCTCGTATTTTCAGTCGACTTTGATTGTATTTAAAGTTAAAGATGACTAGCTACTCGCTCCGGCTTCGTACGGGTGTACATGTATTATATATATACCTTACCTACCTACCTTCCTCTAGAATCACTCTATCTATTAAAAAAAACCGCTTCAAAATCCATTACATAGTTTTAAAGAATTAAGCATACATAGGGACAGACAGCTTCAGCGATATTATTTAATACTATGTAATGATGATAATACATAGTACACACTATAGAAACGAGATATATTTATCATAAAAATATTATTAATATAAATAAATAAAGTTTAATATTATTTACATTAAAAAAGCATAAAAGTATAGGTAGGCATAGGTAGCTAGTGTTTTATATAATAATTTATGTTATAGTAGTACGACTACTACAACATAAATTATTATATAAAACACTAGCTGTACCCGCGACTTCGTCCACGTAAAATAGTGACCTTGACCAAATAATAAAAAAAATATTTAATGACCTAACCCAATAAAATCCAAATGAAAAAGTTTCATCGTTTCATCTTCAAAAATGACGACACTTCCATACATAACTCTTTCAACCGCTTATAACCCTGCTATCGCATTCAAAAGTAGCCTATGTCCTTTCTCAGGGTCTAGACTAACTGTGTAGCAAATTTCATTTAAATCGGTTCAGTAGTTTTAGCGTGTAAGTGAGACTGACAGACAGACAGATAAAGTTACTTTCACAGTTATAATATTAGTGGGGTATTTTATAAACTAACCCAAAAAAGCCAATGGAAAAAGTTTCATAGGCATTCATCTGGCTTCAAAAATGACGAATTTACCTAATATCTTTTATTCCCTAATTTATTGTACCCCCTTAAGAGTAATTTTTTACAAACTTTGAATGTCATATTCATTTATATTTAATTAACAGCCTCAAAAATAAGTTTCAAGCTTCTAGCTTCAAAAATGACGATTCTTCCATACAATATTTCATCCCCAATTTCAACCCCTTACAACCTCTTTTTTGCATAAAAAAGTAGCCTATGTTCTTTCTCAGGGTCTAGACAATCTGTATACCAAATTTCATTTAAATCGGTTTAGTAGTTTTGGCGTGAAAGCGAGACAGACAGACAGAGTTACTTTCGCGTTTATAGTAAGGAGTAAGGATTACCATTAATACATTTATTTGCATTATCTTGACCTCTTTTTTTATTCATTCATTTCCTGTATCCTTTTCTTATTCCAATTTCCAAACCATATTTTTACCAAGTCTGTAATACACTTAAATATTTTAAATCCTCTATTACGCTTTGACAGACTTTTATATTTATTTTCTTTCCGTAATTATATATGAGTAGAATACACCACACCTACGAATTTTATTATTAATATTTATGAATGCTGTCTGAATTTACAAAGCGTGTAATTTTAACATGAAATAGCATAATATATAAGAAAAGCAACCACTTCAAACCGTAGCGTATGTATTAACGCTGTACAGTGTTCAAACTACCCAACTGACTAATTCGAAGGTTGGTAACCATGTACCTTCTGCCAAAAAAAATATTTTATAAAAGTTATAAAAATAATCACCTTTTACTGTAAATCTATGAATATGATGAAAACTACAATTTGTCTTATGAAATATAAATAAATAAATTCCCTAAAGTAACTATCGCTTTCCGTTCTTTTTTTAAACAATACATATTTTACATAAAAATATTTATGTGTGGCGAAGAGTGCAATGCTTTTAGTGTGACCTTTATTCCCAATCTAGTCTTATTTTCAATTGTTTATCATCGAAATAGTTGAGATAGGTTTTTTACTAATGAAAATAAATATGATATCGATAACCAATATACTCGTATTTCTTTATGTGTACTTTATATGACTTGAATTTGCGCATTTAACATTGAATATACATATATATATATATATATATATATATATATATATATATATATATATTTAACCATTAAGCTATCATTAAAACTAGTCACAAGTATGTATGTTGTTACAATTATTAAAAACATTTATGTTATTCCATGAAGTTGTATATTATGTTTTAAGTTACTTTGGATCGATAAGAATCTAAACCTCTTTAGTTGATTATTACATACCTAATAATATACTAACAGGATTTAATATCGTAGAATAGTTATTACTCCATTCTGTGATATGAAATCCTGTTAGTACACTAATCATCTCTCAGAAATCTCTCCATTGTGGATGTTAATGCTCTCGGCAATTGCGGCACTGCGGTGGGGTGAGTGAATCGACCACTCTATCTTTACACACTGAGAACAGACCTGCAATATATTTCAGAGCCTTGGGCAGTTTTCGGCTTTAAAATGTATTTCCGGTCCTCACCTTTATTAAATACATACTTAAGAGTCCAGAGATAATCTCTGTTTAATTATAATGGAAGTTTATTTTATTTATTGAAACTTTAATGCATTTTTATACAATGTCAGTATAATACAATCAGTATAAATAGAACAAGATAGTAGAAATTATAATTTAAAAGTATAGTTTAGGCTTACTGGACTCACAAAATCTATTCACCTATAAAATAGATTCACCTATAAAATATGACACAGTGATATGCAACTCGAAGATCAGTAATAGACATAAGGTTACATTTAGGAAACAGATGAACTATTCAAACATCTATTGGTGTGAAAAATTTATTACAAGTCACTAGGAATAGAGGTGGGAATATATAAAAAATATATTCTTCATATACAGTTACCACGGCCTCGCCTAATTTGGTATAAAATATAAAATGGACTCGATCTCCATTTCAACCGTTGTGTAAAACGTTTCCCACGAGATCGAGGTGTATTCAGAGAGAAATACAGTTCACTCAAGACTATATTATATTTGGAATTGTGCATAATATAATGTAAATTTAATTTTAAACACTAAGTTAGACTTTATACAAAGTCGTCTGCGTGGGTATCTCTAATTTACTCTACATTAAGTTGCTTCAGCAGCTTGGTTCGTATGGAGTATTTTCAATTAAAAGGTAATAAGACATTGAAATATTATAAAACTTGACTTCTTACTGCTTCGGAATGGAAATGAGTGGGTAGTACCCCGAGAGGCTGTGGTACTATTCATATATGTATGTAGGCGACGGTTATGATTCCAATTACCTACAAAATGTATAAGGAAAACACTACTTACGTCGGTCGACGGCTGTCGCATGGTGAGCACGCGGCCGGCCCATGTGGCCGATCATCGCCTCGCACCCGTCGCTACCGAGCGCCACCCCACACCTGCAATAAACTCTAATGTAATTCTAATGTACACAGTATAAGGTCGGTCGCATATTGTAAAAACATCTATATACAAAATGGATTCAATCAACCCTGTAGATTTTGTCGCTTGAATGCCAACCGGATCAAGCTACTTGTTACTCAAGTAAACTTGATCAATTACTATTTTTTCTATGAATTTTGTATCTGTAACTTTCAATACTTTTTACTATATCGAAGTAATTTCATTTTTTTTTTCTGACTGAGGATTTAATTGTATTTTTTGCACTGAACTTCACACTAAGCCGTATAATTTTTATATGCTTTGAGAGCTCATATAGCAAGGCTAATAAAGAGATGTGAAAAATTCCAATTAATTCTACGCAGTAGTTTTTGGTTGGTGCCCTTTTAAATATGGAGAGCCATAAGCAGCATTTTCGACATATCTTACTGTTTTACTACAGAAAGGGCAAAAATGCTGTTCAAGCCGGACAGAAATTGACCGATGTGTGTGGAGAAGGTGTGTTAACAGTACGCCAGTGCCAGAACTGTATCGCTAAATTTCGATCCGGCAATTTGATGTCGAAGATGCACCACCCTCGGGAAGGCCGGTTGAAGGTGATAAAGGCATCGGTTGCTGCGAACCGGCGATGACATTATAATATTTTAATATTATTACAATAAAAATAATTATCTTAATAAATATATAAAGTTGCGAAGCCGCAATTGAACATGTAAGTTTTTACAAACAAACAAGTGACTTTTTACAAAATTTCTCCATTTTTCTACAGTGTATAAAATAGTAAAATGGCTATCACAAATTATATAGATATCGGCTGTGGTTAAGTAAAACTAACTCTGCATAAAAAAAAGTTGTACGTTTTCATTTCTCTCTTGAATTCCATACGTTTTAGCGGTGAAACAATTTATTTGAGTCGGCAACAGTTGCGTTCAACGAACTTTACCGTGTTGATGTTATGTAGTAAAACGTAGTAGCTACTGGTTATTTTTATGTATGTTTACCCGCAGTTGTACACAAAGGCTCACCCTTTTTATGCGAGCTGCCAAGTGCTCTTTCAGATTATAATATGCCAAATACATGCAGGAACAGAAAGGAGATACTAATACGGATACTAATAGATCAATCAGACAGTATAAATATTTTAATACTTATAAAACTCGTTCCAACTTTCCCTAGATTAGAGATATTTATTACTACTTAGTACACACATTTTTTTTTATTTTATTAAATTAAAAAAATTGTGGCTTGTAAAGATAAAGCAATTAATATATTTCCCCTCTTGTAGGACATTTTTCTTAGTTTTTTTAGCCTGTATGTTGGGCCATACTTAAAAATATTTTCTGTGAAAATTTTATCCTAATTCCTTTAGCCTTTTTAAACCCTAACACATTAATTTATAGATAAACAATAAATAGTCAAACAGAGAGATTTTACGTCGTAATGATTATCGATTTATTCTGTGAATTAATGAAAGAAAAACAATATTATTCGTTATAACAGCCTTTATTTCTTTGGGTAAATCACAGAAAAAGTACCTACACTAACTTCATAGCTTACGTATAAAAGCCAAAAGTATCTATGTTAGTATATTAGAGTAATAATTATTTAGGTACAGTGTGGTGTTTATGACCGAAACAGGTTAAGCAAATTTGCGTTTTTGTCCATTATGCTAACAAACACGCCTAGCCATCTGCTGAACAATTACCTAGTGACATTCATTTGCATGGAAATTACAACGACGCGACCTGTGCACCATCCAGATTCTGAACGTTGCTTACGCTGCTATTACCATACGCAATGTATGAGGTCATGCTATGATTAAGTATTCCACTATTTATTTTTATGAACTGGATTTAATACCTAACCGTAAAACAGGGACGATTGAATATTAATATACTAGTAGTATTAATACAACTTATATATATATATATAACTATATGAAAAGTAACTACAGACATCACGTTATCTTGTTACGCCCGCGAAAAGCTTAGCTTAGCGGTGCCGATCCGGAGAACTATGATCATGCTTCTTGTTCTGTAATTACAGTATAATTATCTCACTCTTTAAACAAATTACAGCTGAAATCAGATGCAAAACTACTGGCGCAGACGGCTTTTTGAAATTCTGGTAAAAGAATAGAAAAATATTTGATATTTTCTTAATTTTTCTTTGACTGAATTTTTTCTATATGCTGTCATAGTAAAAATACATATTTTATCCCATACCATATTTCATATTCACAGAATGTCGTAAGCAACGATAAGAACAAAGGAAAATCTCGAAATAAAAATCATATACCAAACCTCTTCACATTCCCATTAGATGAATACATAGTCACTATACTGTGACTTCTTGGATGACTAAGAGAAAAAGATAAGAAATTGTTTTTTGCAGCCATTTAAGAAAGCTTCGTGGATACTGCCTATGTAAAGTGTATGTGGGTCGGTAGGCACGCCAAACGCGTTGTAAGCGAAGCGCTCAGTCATGTTGTAAGAACCTTGAACGGAAACGCGATTAGATATATTTCGATATTATTGTATTTCATACCATAATGGACTTTCCAAATACTAGTTTGAAATTATATATCTAGAAAGTAATTTTTCATGCGAGTACATACAGTTCAATTGAAAAGGTTGTTTTTTTTTATAGCATAGTTACAAACTAATAGACCGTTTGTTGGATAGAGATAACTGTCATCTATAAACATGAATAGCAACACATATCACAAAATACGTTTCATATACTACAAATGAAGTACTTCCTATTCTTGTTACCAGCAATAAAAATATACTTGCATTATAATGATCACTACTTAGTTCAGCGTACACACAAAATACGTAACATACTAATTCTACTATTACACAGTAATTACTCCGAAAATTGCACCTCATAATATTGTCTTATCTTTCTGTCCCACATAATTCAACTGAGACAGCATTATTGGAAGACTCTATTATCTATCCGCTTGAATGATTTTCTCATTTTTGGAGCAAGTAACCATTGGTACGGCTGCTACGCATTGTATATTTCAGTTATAATAGCGTGACCGGTTGCTTTGTCAACATGTATTTGCACATTTTTTTTATATATATTTAAAGCAGGTTATTATGAATATATTAAAAACACCTTACAGACTAAAATTATATATATATATAAAATTATATATATGATTGATATTGAAATGAATCCAAAACATAAATTGTCTGTGTGCACTGATAACTACCCGTATATACGGAAATTTAATAAACTTACTATGTTTTCGTCTTATGGAACAAGTTGACAAGTTTTATAGAGAGGCAAATGAGTTATTGATGTATGAGGTAAATGATTATTTCAGATAAAGCATTACTCGAGTTACTTTTATCCCAAATGCATTCTGATGAGATAACGTAAATACGTGGTTCTTTTACCTGGATTTTTATGATATCGCGATATCGATTCTAATGTTCCATTTGAACATATTTATTTACTACGTATATAAATATGTTATGACAGTCAATTAACAGACAGACAGTAGATATATACGATATGTTTAAGTCAACTATTTTCTTTAGGATGCAGGAAAAATTATGCTTGTTTTTTTACAGGTAAACTTTACTCCCTACCTATTTCTGGTAAATATATAATGTCTTTGCCTCTATATAGACAATCGATATAATGAGACGCCATGAAGGACAGTCAACACAATGAAAGTTTTAATAGTTATGCGTGCTACAGTCCATTTTTTATATTCATAACTACATATTCTTAAATCACGTATTATGAACTATAATGTTGATAGTCATTAATATCTTGAATAAAAAATAATAATAAATATATATTGTCTTTTGTTATTTCAATACAAAAACAAACAACTAATAACCAACCGGTAGCCCCTATTTAGTCTATTTAAATATGCATATTTTCCCATACCTTGTATACAATTAAAATAATAGAACTTTCATTGTAAGTAAATAAATAATTACTGCATACCAATCGACACAATACTATAAGTCATGTCATAATTATTGTTGTCAATATTTTTCAATATTCATATTTTAACACAGTTCATGTTAATCTAACTGTAACAATGCATTTTTTATGTACCGAACCGAAAATAGAATAAAGTCAGGGACATACATATGTATATGTATATATAATGGGCCTGGAAGAATAAGTATTATTAAGTATTGTGTTAAATTGAAAAACTTAAATATAGATAAAATTTTAATATGGTTAAAATACTTTGGTGACCGAAAGACGATAACATTGTCGTTCCATTAGACGAAGTATCTAAGTAGGTAGGTACTCACCTACAACCTCGGTTTACAGCGCCTTTAATAATCTCATTGAACGTGTAGAAAGCCCTTTAATTACAATTAAAGATCGTTTGAATACAGGGTGCTTGTTGGTAATAGGCGCTATTGATTAATACCACCGCCACCTCACATATTATGTACATATTTATTAATAGTCAAATTTATTTGGCGAAATACTTTATTAACATAATTGTCTAATTTAATAATAATAATCTCAGGACAATTCACACAGCGCCATCTAGACCTAAGTTAAAGTTTGTTTTATGGGTACTAGACAACTGACATACTACATACTACACTTATACATAGAAAAAACACAGACCGATATAAACAATCATACTCATGAATATAAATATTTGTGTCGTGCGAGGAATCGAACCCGCAACCATCGGAAGTAAGGCAGTGTAAACCACTATACCACCGATACCTATACCGCCGTCTAGTTTGAACCCAACATAAAGAATATTAAATGCGAATTAAAGGCAATATAAAGTACTTAATGTTATTCTTAATTCAAAATTCAATATTTAACTTTTTTCCGCAGTGGAATGATTAATGATCCTATTTAACAATACATTTACATATTCAGTATCGATCTCAAATTACGGTGTATCCACCACCTGTCCGTATACATAACCTTTGTTCAGGAGTTGGAGTTCGAACCACGTGTTTATTTAGGTCATGCTGGCTGGGCTCTCGTA